AAAGAATAGTACTATATTGAGTAAGTTTTATTCACAGAAATATAAGCCTTAATCTATAATGAATGGCAGATTATACACCAGAAAGCAATTTTCTTAGTTTTCAATACTAATGAAAAGGTTCCTACTAAATGAAAATAGCCATAAAATTGTCTTCACAAATGCAGTACTCTGTTTCAAAACATTTCACATGATTATTCACAATACTAATACAATAACATAATGATCATTCTGTCAGATTAAAGATAATAGTAATGAAAAACTGCAAAATCTAACAGAAATTAAAGCCTCTGTTATATCAAATCAAAAATGCAAATCTGGTATGAAGTATAGACAAAATGGTAAAATATATTGTAATTTAAAAGATTAAATTAATGATACATAATAATAGTAAATTCCAAAAATCTATATGCATATCAGCAAACTCTAGAATTCAGAAACACTCTTGCCATCCAAACATTAACGTCATACTGTCCAATTTGAAAATAACTCTCATTTTGTTCTTCAAACTTGAGTACTTGCTATATAAGGCAGTATCTGTTTGGGACCAAGAGCACTGGACTAAAAGTTAGACCCAGAGTCCACCTTCAGCTGGAGCAATGTGTTTGCTTGCTTTTGTAGTCCTAGGGATTAGCTGGTAATAAGTTTTCAGTAAATACTTGTGCAATAAATAGATGAAATAGGAGGTGCTGGTATTTGAACTTAAATGTGATTTCAAAGCGTACTAAGCACCAGAGCTTTACAACACCTATTATCTCCCCATTTCTTTTTTTTATTTTTGTTTTTTTTTTGGCTGGAGCTCGGTTTGAACCTGCTACCTCCAGCATATGGGGCCGGCGCCCTGCCCTTTTAAGCCATAGGCGCTGCCCTATCTCCCCATTTCTAATATTGGAAATATTAGAAAGGACTAAAATACCCAACCTAGGGGCTTGGTTTAAATGATTCTTAAGATACAATATTATGGTGGCTCATGCCTGTAATCTAGCACTCTGGGAGGCTGGGTGGATTGCTTGAGCTCTAGAATTGGAGACTAGCTTGAGCAAAAGCAAGACCTGGTCTCTAAAAATAGCTGAGAGTTGTGGCTGGTGCCTGCAAACCCAGCTACTCAGGAGCCTGAGGCAAGAGGATCACTTGAGCCTAAGTTTTTGAGGTTGTTTTGAGCTATGAGGTCATTGCACTCTACCAATGGTGACGAAGAGAGACTCTGTCTCAAAAAAAAAAAAAAAAAAAACAACATTATGCAGGTGAGTATTTAGTTACACAGAAAGAAGCATGTTTAAGTGAAAAAACTAAAACAGAAGTTATAAAAAAAACTTACTTTGTAAAAGATATGTACAAAAATATATAAATATTTATATGCTTAGAACATAGTTGGACAATAGATACAAATATTAACAGTGATATTTTTATTCTTTTTTCTAAAAGTTTATTTGATTAAAAATGTATCAAATA